CCAATTTTTGAGCTAGAATGCTCATCTTCGAACTCGATCTGTCTTTTTATGACACAAAACGACCCTGAAAATCCCAGGTCGCTCACTCAATTCGTTCTCGAGTTATCGTGCGGACAGACAGACACACACACAGACAGACAGACAGAAAAAGTTTTTTTCGACCAGACGGAGTAATAGGCTTCGCTAATCGCTCAGCCAAATCAGCCAAATAAATACAGAGTTGTTGTTGTTTGCGTTTTCCAGCCAATAGTACACTGTTATTCAAGAAATGTGACGTTACATTCGTTTAAATCTGAATAGTGTCACGTTCTTTTCAATATTGTGTCACATTCGGTTTAGCGTTTATCAGCTAATCCAGGGGACTGTCAGACATAGATTCATGTTCAAATTTATGTGACTGGATTTTCCAATGAATGTGACGCGACTCACATTGAAACGAATGTCACGTCACATTCCCTGAATAACAGTAAGCGGCAGGCGGCAGGTATCAGATAGCAATTAAATTATCTCTTCACCTTTTGCTATAAACGAAATAAACCTGCCGTAGATCGTTGTGGAAATGGCCAAATGCCTTATCTAGTTGTGCTGCTTCCTCTTAAAGTTTGTCTTCCACAAAGTCTTTAGAACCATTGAAAAATACAAGAAAGAAAAATTACAGGCATTTTATGATTGGCATCAGAAAACACCTGAGTTATACTTCATTCGAACTTGTCTTGCTCATCCTTAGTCTGCATTAGAATAGTATCCCTTGACACACTTTTCTGCAGCAAATAATAGTTCCCTGGTTTAGCTGCGTGCCTTCTTCATGGTCTTTTAGCCGCCCACGTCTCAGCTTCATTAGGTTCATTTTTGCTAATCGTTCATGGCTTTCGATTAGCCTTGACATCTCAGATTGTCTAGCCCTTGCAAGAGCATCTAGACAGTCTAAATCTTTGTTCAAGCCCTTCGTTTTCTAATACAAAGGTGTAAACGAAGGCCTCAAATCACAAAACCGAAAAAACAAAACAAAACCTGCATTTAATTGCATTTTTCATTTCTTGTGAAATACCGATTCTCGGCTAATCAAGCAAAACAAAAAAAAATATGAATTATTGCTATTGTGCCTAAAAAGGGTACGCGCTTTTAATTTTGTTTCTTCTTTTAAAAGCGCGATAGTAGCGATTACAGCGCTTTTAGACGGAAGGCAATAAAAAGCGCAATATCAGCGGCGCTCGGTTTCTACCGGGGTATCGAGCATCGCCTCGATACATCATAACTTGATAATATCGAAGTATCGAGGCATATCGTGGGTATCGAAGCATGTCGGTATATATATATACGGTATGTATCGATACTCTCGATATTGGTCAACATGATACCGTATCGGTTTCAAATTATCGATATACCAGACAGCCCTACCTGTCCTTCGCTCTAATACGGGCCCTCGCTACCACCAATACTGAATTTTTAGACCACCTGATCTCTAAAAAGTTATTCGTCTAAAAGTACTGATATTTTAGTAAAACCGTTTTCGAAAACAAAAGCGAAAACCAGACTCGAAAGCTCACTGCGGGATCACTCGCAGCTCCATCCGCCTCCATTTGCAGCAGAGAAATGATGGATATGATTATTATTTATGAAGAATGTGGTTTCAATGAAAGGGCGGCCCTAGCTCTCTATCGGCAGCGGTTCGGTGAACGCCCCAACCAGCCCTATCGTCAACAGTTTCCGAAATTGCACGCGAGGCTCCTTGACCGGGGAACTTTCGACGCTAGGCCAGGTAAATACCGACGGCATTTGCGATATGACGATTAATGTTTGAATCGCTGATGACAAAACATATTGTTTAGGTCCTGTTCAGGGAGCCCCTTTCCCGCGTCGTGTCCGCACTCCAGAGGCTGTCGCCCTGGTGCGGCAGACGTTTGAGGGCCGTCCCAACACCAGTGTGCGGGCCACGGGCATGGCGTTGGGCATGTCCAAGACCACCGTGCACGAGATGGTTCGGTCAGATCTGCACCTGAAGCCCTGGAAGAGGGCTCAGGTTCAGAAGCTGAAACCTGGGGACCCGCCAATCAGGGCGCGTGTGTGCAAGGAGTTCATGGACTTGGTGAGTGCCCCTCCCCCCTCCCCGCTCTAATTTTCGACTACACCTCTCGTCATTTACTCACGGTCGTGTGTTGCACAGGTGGATGAGGCACAGGCCAACCCCCTCTTCCCCGGGGACCGGTTCGTTAACCGCGTCATCTGGAGCGACGAGTGCTTGGTGAGCAACGAAGGTTATTTTAACGCCCACAACTCCCACCACTGGGCTCCCGAGGACGACAACCCGCATTGCACCATTCAAACCCATGTGCAAGGCCGATTCAAGGTCATGGTGTGGGCGGGCATCCTCCGTAATAAGGTCGTGGGGCCTTATTTCTTTGAGGGGGCGGTGACCGCGGTGACCTACACTGCCCTGCTTCAACACCACTTGCCTGGGTTCCTGGAGGACTTCTCCCTCCAGGTTCACCGTTCCTGCTGGTTCATGCAGGACGGCGCCTCCCCCCACACCTCGATCCTCCTAGTGGCCGCGGTACGCATAACAATCGCGAATTTTGTGAAAGAAGCACCAAAATTTGCACAGACGTCCTTAAAGGTATAAGGAACAATTCTGCCCGAAGTCTTCTGGAAGTTTTCGAATCGTTCAACCTCTACTGTTCAATTCGTACAACCTGAACGGAATAGTATAAATAGCGGTGACGCTCACCCTAATGAAGCTAATAAGTGGCGCGTAGTAACTTTTTCACTCAATTTGGTGTCGCCGGACAGAAAGC